GTCCAATGTTATTGCACGAAGATTGAAAGATTAAGGTTGAAAACAATCATATGCCATGATTTTTAAATTCCTTTACCTGTGCTCCGTGTAAAAGAGTGTGAATCATCGTTTTAACGTTTTACTTTTGGAAACAACGAGTAGTAATATCAAATTCACTTTGTACAGCATATTCTATCGAATTGCAGGCACACTGACATTATCTTAATTTAATAGCACCTATTTATTCAACCCCAAAAATCCTTAGGAGATAGAGTACTACAAACAGTCTTTGATTGAGATGTTGAGCGAAATATGGTTTCGCTAAAAAATAGATAAACTTGATATTTTGAAGGTTGTTATGCGACGCGCGCGCAAAACTATTTTATGTTGCTTTGACATCATACTAGAAATTTCCTTTGTCTGTCAAGCATTAAAAAGGGAGTTTAATTTAGAATTAATCAGAAGACAAATGACATTGGGCTCGAAATCCTTTCCTTCTTAGGACACTTAAGTTGCTCTGTCCATCAAAGACAAGACATTCACCAATCTGCCTATCAATTCTCAGATTGCTATATTCTACAAGGAAAGCCTTAATTAAGTTACTTCACCGGCAGCTTATTTTACACTTTTTTTCGTCTCTTGGGTCCAAATTAAAACGTTTCAGAAGAAGTAAAATACCATAACTGATGAGCTACTAACCGCGCTATTTACAACTAGTATAGCTGGCCAATATCAGTTCTTTAATATAAAATTCCCAATATACGCTATCGGTGAGTGTTTCCGACAAGAAGACAGAGAAAATCCACCCTTACATTAACAAATGCCCTCAAGACGAGATCATAATCTCTTGCTCAAGAGCAAGACTTGTTTTTCAGTTACATTCGTAACAACAAATTCTCAGTTCCGCATGTCAAGCACGAATTTTTTTCTGAATTATAACCGTCGTAAGCACTAGGTAAGTGTTGCTGTCAAAGTATTTTTCAGGTACTATGGCGAATGCTATGCGTCACTACTTCAGTTTTTCCTCGACGAACATGTTCGAGAATACGCATGTCAGTTTTTCAAGTAGGCCTGACAGAGATCAACGTTTGTCTCAATTTTTTTCCGCTACCAGCTAAAGAATGTGTGTAAGGGAATACTTATCACAGAGAACGTGATAGACTGTGACTCCATACTGAAGGAAGACAGCTGCTCATAAAACGAGAAACACCGAAAGCAACAATATCCGTAGTTCATCATATTCGTTTTGGAAAATCAATTGATCTCGCCGAATTACAGAGCAAGCGTTGAAGGAATAAACCAAAACACAGTCGTAAATTGTAGATAAAAATATAAAATATCGAAAGAATTCTCTTTTCCGCGCTTTATTATTGTTGTTGTTTTGTAAAGTGGAGCCCACATAGAGGACACATTGAAAATTCCGTTTGTTTTTGATTGCTTCTATTTGGCACTCTTTCAAAACATATATTTGTTCAATGAAACATCGTTATAATATTCTTAATCAAACAAATTTCCCCTCGATTATTTTTTATTCCATTTAAGTTTCTCGAGAACAGCACGTCTCCAAAGTTAAATCCTTTATTTCGGGGAATTTTATTTCACTTTTTACGTATTCAGCGTGATAAAACCTCCCCCGACGTATCACTTTACGAAGCGTCTGCACGAAACTTCGAAAATAGCCAAAACTCTGAAAGGGAACAAAAGGTGCTTTGACAGAGCAAAACCTATCTTGCAGCGAATTATTTGATGTCCAAATGCGCATTGACGTCACAGAAATATATTACCATGCTGGTGATTGGATTTTTCTGATTTTTTTCATCGTTAAATATGTATGGTCGTGGCGTGATCGTACTTCCAGTAGTAGTTTTAGAGAACGTAAACAAAAAGAAACTAACTGATAATCATTTTTGAAGGTTAAGTTAGTCCTTAAGTCATGAAAAATCTTTGTGCTTGGTCAATTCTCGTTGTCCTATACTGAGCTGTGAAGATTTAGTGTAAAGTTAAGTAACTTTTGCTAGCCATAAAGAGTAAATCAAATATTACTAGCAAACACGAAAATTTCAAAAACAGGGCGTCTTGAGACAATGGGATTAAACCTGCGTTTTACCGCGCAAAGGAGTGTAGATTAAGTCTAACGAGAAAAAAAATTAACATTTTCAACTTTTCGGCTGAAATTTGGTTTTTTACATAGGCATAGACACTATGTGCATTTTGTTAATGTTTGGTTGTATGTTTTACGTCATATACTGATATAGGGAAGAGCGCATTGCAAACTTTCAAGTTTACGGCATGGAGTATCAGTTTACTGCTGAGAGCGCAGTTTTCGAAGGCCTTTCGATAAGGGACAGGTCCGAAAATTGAGTAGAAAGGAAGTCTTGTTTGAAATTGTGGCGGACTAAATTCAATAGAAGAGCACAAGGCATTGTTTGGAGTCTGCAATCGTACTGGTAAACCCACCATGTTTACTGATGCACCTCTTTGAGTAACGCCTTGCCGTAATGAAAGCTGTCTGCTTTCATTAAAAGAACTGTCTAGAAAAAGTTAGCCTTTTCGATGAAAGTATTGTACAAGTGCCATCCAAATGGTATTATTTGACGCTTTAGATATCATGGTAACAGAAGGATTGTTTAAAAAAAGAGAGCCAAAAATAGCAAGTTATGCGCAGCGTGAATCGAGTTTTACTCTTTGGGAGAAGACGTGTTCTCAGTTTTCGTATCGCAGTTGCTAAGCAACCCTTTTTTAAGGTATGCTTGACAGAAGTAAATCATTAAGGACAATAACATTTTTTTCATTCTCCTTTGTAAAAAACTTTTTCAAACGAAGAGTATTTTGAATATGTTTCATTGCAGAAGATGTACTGGATCAAAATGCAAATGCCAAACACTCAACCATTTTCTTTAAAAACGTCATTCAGAAATTTGTTTTTTTAATTCGCCCTGAAATGCCACCTGGGAAGGTGCTCACACACAAATCACAATGTATTCAACAGCTTTTTGTAAATCAATGAATCGTTCTCTAATAATACGTGTAAACAAAAACAAAAAAAAGATCTGCCTTTTATCTTGAGGTTTAACGTGAAGCTAACCCATAAACAGGTCGCACTGGGGGGTATTCCCCTCTAATTGATCTCAGAGGGTGGCCAGGCTATTAACATTAAGAGCAACTCATTAGGGGTATGATTAGTAAACAATTTTCATTGCTTAGAGTCAAGTGCAAAACCTTTGAACTCAGCACCAAGGATGAAATAGGTAATATACGGTAGTTGCTTTTCTTCAGATTGAAAGGGCTAATTAAGGAACGAGTTTAAGTTTTGAACTTCTTTTGTAACAGCTTGTTAACCGAAAAAATTCTTTCAGTTTCAGACCCAAACGATTAAGATCTGTGACCAATTTCAAACTAGCAAGGGAAAAAATGAAGACCCTGTAGTCACGTTTACTCCCTACTGGTTTTTCTCCGCACCATCCCCCCCTCCCCCACCACTCTATTATTAATGTCCCCAGTTTTGTTTAGTGACCTTGGCAGTTGCTGTCTCTATCGACCTTCAAGTGACAGCATATAAATTCAGAGAGGAACTAGAGGCCCATTTCAATGATATGCGACAGAATGCGTGAGTGCACGAAAGTACTAGAGTTGCCCTCGCACTAAATAAAATCTCAGCTGTCAGTAGTTGCGATAATTTTCCTTTAGATGCAATGAATATACGAGTTTTATCCTTTAGACAGAGAACAAAACTTTAATCCAAAGAATGCTCGGACAATTCAGCTGTTTAATTATTAACAGTAGGTTGGTTTCAGGTGAGAGCTTTTTTGTACAATGGCTTCATTATGTTTCACAAAAGCTATTCCACTTGACGAGAAACGTTACATAACGTTGTTATTCGTTTTCGCCAATTTCGGTTTTAAATCAAGTTGTTTTCCTCGCTTCGCCTAAATACTGTGCTGTAGATTCTATGTATTTACCAAGAAGAGCGACGTCAAAGCTCTGGATACCTCGACATCCCCAAAACTGCGTTATCTTGTTCAAGAAACACCCACAGCACAAAATTTTCTAAGCCCATGCATGAACTAAGCCCATCACGAAGCTTTACCACATTCTCCGAAAAATTTAACAGAGATAAAGAAGATTTACTACCACAGGGCTATAGAATATTTGCCTAAATATCGCATACTTTTCCGGCTAGAAACATGTTAATTTCAGTGTTTTTGTTTAAGTTTGCAACCCTTTCAAATCCTGTTTTGGTTATTACGGAATTTTTGCCTCCACGAACAATTCAGATTTACACGTAGCTCACATAAGCCAAATTTAGCCTTCGCAAGCACGATAAGGGTCACTGATTTTTTTGCAAGGGTCTACTGAACAAGAAATGACTAAAACCAAAATATTTTAGTTTCGGAGCTTTGAAAACATAAGCGCAACGCAAATTCAAAATCAGTGCAATACAATAACGCAAAAGTGGGATTTTATTCGCCGAAATACTGCATAAAAAACTGCATTAAAAAAAAAAAATGAGCAGCACAACAAATCCAGACGACCCGGCCTCGCTATAGTTATTCTTCTTGAACTTATAAACATTGATGCTAGAACTCGGTTAAAACTCGCCTTTGCCATTGTTTTTATTTTCCTTCCGTCGAATTTCTTTTCGATTTGTCCTGTTATCCCTACCAAATTTTCGTCTCGTGCCAAAAATCGCTATCCTCGTGAACACTTGGCTAGTGATGCTCTTTCAGGCTAGTCACGTTAAATGTTAATCTCGTCGGCTCATAATTATCACAACTTTCACGCGTCAGTTAAACCTTGCAGTCCATAATTCTCTCACAAGCCAATTGCCAATCAGCTTTCAAACACCCGTTGTTGGCTGTCAATCAATGATGGCACTTATCAGTAATTTTTTACTGTATGGTATGAATTATTGTATTTTATTTATTAATAAATTTTATAGTAATAAATTGATCATGTTCTTATGAACTGAGGATCAAAATCAATTAAACTAAGGAAACTATCATTTCATCTTACTACAGATCCAGTTGTATACAGCATTGAACCCACCCATGGTAGCCTGGCTGGGGGCACCATGGTCTTTGTACATGGAAGAGGTACGTAGCTTTACATGAAGTCGAATCTGTCCTGTAACTTCAGCTAGAACATTGTGAATTCAACTTCGAGAAGTCGGTTAATTCAACAATTTATGCCTGTTTTTTTTTTTTTTTTGGTAGGTTTTGCAAATGATCAGTTTAATTTTCATGATCCATTGCTGGGAAACAAAATATTGTTCAAATCAGATAAACACCAAGTGGAATGTCATATAACGCCAACAGATGTGTCGGAAAAAAGAATTGGCTGCGAGACTGAGTAAGTTACTAAATAATGTATCGTAGTCGCGTTGTAAACTGAGCAAGGGTACTAAGGGTAGTTAGGAGTTTCAGATTCATGATCTCTACTTTCATATAATCGGCGTCGCGAGTTTATTTTTTGGCGAGCGAGTTATTTCATTATTCCGATCAGGGATTCAAGCTACCCTATCGGATTGCCCGCGCGAGTAAAGAAAAAGTGTACTAAGAAGGTGGTAGAGAGGCATGTTCGCTCCAAGCCTTCCTCGATCTTACAAATTCAATATGGCTACTTCAATCCTTGTTCGGAAACTATACGCGCACTATGCAAGCAATAATTTTCACAGCTGCCCTCAGTCAGAGAGAGTCAGTCAGTGTTGTTGAATCAGTCCGAGTCATTGAATCTGAGAGTAAGTCGACAAGGCAGCAGCACTGACTGGTCAGCCAATCAGCTCATTTGGACATTTTTTTTTACCAGACCATCGCCAACAGTCACTGACGGCGAATACGAACTCGTGATGTTTGTAAATGGAGCCTTAGTAACGAGGTATTGCGGGCGTCACCAGAAATGCACATTCCAGGTAAAATTTCCAGATCTTCAGTCTTAAGTATACGTTCATAGACTTTGAAAGCATATTTCAAGAGCTGCCATGGTAATTATTAGTTTGAAGATATATGTTAATGTTAGACCTTGTATTAAATTTTTTTTCAATTCTGGCACTGAAATTTGCCCTAACTGCCTGAGATAAACGACACTTTGTATCCACACTATACAAGAAACCAAATCACTTATTTTATCATCGCTAGAATCGATAGTTCTTCTGAGAACTGTTAGAATAATTCCTTGTTGTTGTTGTAAACTACTAGAGTAAAATCTATTATCGTGGCTAAGTTATAAATTATTAACCGCGTCTACCATTTTCTCATCAACTGTAGTTTTACAAATGGAGAACTCCGACCATCGATGATTTCACTCCTCGGGCTGCAATACCAGGTATATTACAGTATGTTGCATGTCCAAGTACTCGAATATTAGACACAAATTGATGATGGTGCTGTTACCTGCTGCCACATGATGTACACTAATGGAATGTGGCAACGACGACAAACGACATCAGCAATGCTGGAACTTCTCACTCGCTAATTCTATTTCATTTGATGGCGCATTCACACACCATTGGCCCTATGTTGAACCACCCTATAGATGAAGTCACATGATATCAAAGTAATTGATTTACGCGGTTAACACCATAATCTAACTCTACTTCTTTGTTACTAGGAACACCCGTTGAAATCTTTGGAAAAATTCAGACCACTCAATTCAGCCGACTTTCTCCTGGATTTTCAGCTGATAACAAGGAAATCACTAGGTTAGAATTTTAATTTCAATTCACACGGTTTCTTCTTTCGGCCTTTTTTCTTTTCAATTGATCAATTGCTTAAGAAACTTTAGTATCCATGGTAAATGAATGTCATGAAGATGGTTTTTTGTATTTATTTATTTTTTTCAGAATCTATGTTGGTCTAGAATGTAACCCGTTCAACGACGAGACGAACGAGCTGTAAGTAGTTGTCAAATCTACCACTGAGGAGATCTGATTATATCGAATGGAAAGGGATATATGCGGGCAGGTCTATAATGCACCCATTTTCATGAAATGTTGAAAAAAAAAACAGCAAAATCTTTTCTCTTTTTTTTCTTTTTCTTTTTTTTTTTTAACAAATTTCAGGTTTGGAGCGGAATTAGAAGACTGTGGTTGGACTCCAAATTGTCGTGGCTCATTTCAGTGTCTACCTAAAACACGGACTCCTGGTAAGGAACGTCCTCTCACATCCAATGTCCTAATTCAATCTTTTGGCATAAATAAAATTCCAGCAAGATGATAACAATTTAGAGACACAATTTACTCACCGAAACTTGTATAAAACCGACCCATATTACAAGTGAATATGGAGAACAGCCTGAAACAAATCGGTAAAAATCAAATGCAGATAAATTTCTTAGCAAAAACGCTCTGAAATGTTAAAGAATTAAGTTAATAAACTTTAAAAATTTTTATTTCATTTTCATTTTTGTGTCACAGTGTTTATGTCAAAAGTCTTTTAAAAGCAGAATGAGCAAATATTAAATCATAACTAGTGAGTATAACTGCTTTGCTGGACTCGACTCCTTGTTTTCTCCCCAGGCTCCCACTCGGCTTCCTATTTGGTTTCATTACTTGGAAGGTCACAAGTGAATAAGAACTTGTGGCGAGTAGATGCAAATCAAGAGCTGTACCTCTATCAAACACATCCAGGTAACTATTTAAAGTAATGACTAATTCTGTGGTTCATTTGAAGAATTGTGGGTGTGTTTTTCAAATAAGATAATCAATTCACGGTTAAATGTGTTATGGATAACGAGATTGCGAGGTCTCGAGGGCCGTCCACTCCTGCTATCAAACGCATGTCCATAAAACCACTGTTAATCGTGTCATTTTGATCTTCTTCCATCAGATATTCAGAGCGTTTCGCCGTCTTCTGGAAGTCTTCTAGGCGGGACCATTATAACAATTCGAGGCAAAGGTTTTAGCGACATCGCCAAAAACGTCAAAGTTTTTGTTGCCGGTATGATGACATTTTAAAATTAACACACAGACTGATAAAAAACTAGAATACAGAATCTAGCATAAAATAAAAATAGTCGAAATCGAGTAAAATAAGCGGCATCTGTCTGAATGTTCTCAAGCACAAGTCAACATGATAATGGAAGAATGTAGCTCAATCAAAGAAAACTTGATTCCCCAAGGGAACTCAGAACTTTTCACTGTCGAAAGCTCATGATTAGACCAAAAAACGTCTTGCATTATCCCATTACCAAGCTCAGATTTTATAATCTTTGTTAATATTTTTACGCACATGACCCTTTCAACATTGCTGATACTAGCAGTATGCAGAACGCGTGTCACATGTGTGCTCAGCGATGACCCAGCGCAACCTTTTCTCGGTCAGCGGCGCCCGTTATGGTTGCCATGATGTTTTGGTGTTCCGTACTGTAATATCTGTCTTCGTCTTCGTATCGCTTCTCGGCCTTTTGGCTAGATCAGTCGCATATTTTTTGCTCTGTCTAGCCCTCGCTAATTTGAGAGATTTGAGATTGCCTTGCCTTTTGCCCCGTGGGGCCTTTCCTTATTTGCTAGAAGCTTTTGATGATGGATTTGAGTGAGAATGTTGGATCTGCGGAGAATATTTCTACCGATAACGATGTTTTAAACGACAATGGCGACCATAATGTTGTAAATGTTGACCCGCATGCCGTTAATGGCGATTCTTACGCATCCGGTGCTGCTCGTACATCTGGATTAGGAGCTGTCCCATTGAATTTAGGAACTGTTCCAGTGGAAAATTTAGTTCAACAGCTTCATCAAACCGAAAATCGGATGCCGCAACGCCCAAAGACGGCTTTTTTTACGCCGCACCAACAGACGTCGGCTCGATCTGTTTTTGATGCCCTTGCCGTTTCTAAAGTCGATCCGACAGAAATTTCGTCCTTGCAAAGAAAAGTGAACGGAGAAGTGGTTGTCACTTTTAAATCGATTGAGGCAAAGGATAGATTTCTCGGTTTGAGCTCGCTTTTAATCGACAGCCAACACTACGCTTTGCAAGATATTGACAGGCCATTGACATACCTAACGATTTATGATGCGCCCTTCGAGTTGTCGGATCTCGCCATTATAAAGCGCTTATCGTCGTTTTGTGAGGTTATTCACTACCGCAGAGGAAAACATAGTTATGCACCGAATGTATATAACGGCCTGAGGCATTACAGAGTCAGAATTATAAAACCAATACCAAGTTTTCTTCGATTTGGGAGAATGCAAATTTATCTCAAGCATAACGGCCAACACCCAACTTGCCG